GCAGTGGTGGTGGGAAATCTGCCCTTTTTTCGGGGAGGCCCATGCAGGGAATTGTGAGGGGGAATGGTGCTGCCCAATCTGAAAACCTCCAGTGCAGTGGTGGGGGGCAGTGAGGGGATGACTGACAGTGTGAATATCCTGCCCCAGGGGACATGCCCCTGGGGGGTGGAGAATGGTATGTCCAAGGATAACTCTCCTGGTTTGTGTTCCCTGCTCTCTCCCCTTGCAGGAGGAGGGGAACTAGACACATGACCCATGGCTGTGGGTGTCTAGACTCTGGCTCCCCTGCCTTTGAGCTTAGTGGCAGGAGTCACTCAGGAAGTCAGATGTGTCTGAGGTAGTTTTGGGGCTGGGGCAGAGGGTGTGAACTGCCTCCATGGTCAGAAACCGCTGTCCCCATGCACGCTTTGTCAGGTCCACTTGCAATGGTACCTGCGTGGCAGGGATCCTGGGAAGGGCAGCTAGCCCCCTTATTACTAAGGCCTTAAGAAATTCATGGTCCATTTGGGCCGATTTTATGGTCACAGGATTTTCAATAATTCTATGGTCCTAGCCCAAAAAGGAGTTGTGGGAGACAGGTTGCAAAGTTATTGAAAGTGGGGTTGTGATATTGCTGCCCTTATTTCTGCAGCTGCAGAGCCCTAGCTGGGAGCTCTGTTCTCAAGGCATCACATACATAATGGTGGCAATATTATGACCCCCTAAAATGTATAACCTCCCTGCAATTACCAGGACCCCCAGTTTGAGAAACACTGGTCTTCCCTGTAAAATCTGCATAGAATAGGGTAAAAACCCGGAGCACCAGATTTCATGGGGGGCAGGGAGGGGAGGACAAAGCCAGATTTCTTGGTCCTTGATGCATTTTTCTTGGCTGTGAAGTTAGTAGGGCCCTATGTGTTACCTCTGATTCAAAAAGAAGCTCTGTATGGTCTCTGGGCACAAACATCACTGTAGTTAGGGATTTGAGCAGCTAGTGCAAATGTCCTGTGTCAGGCTTTGCCTGGAAGGCACCATCTAACCAAAGTTGTGTGAAACAGCTTTGGTGTCTGTTACTAGGACTCCAAAGTTCAAGCTGGTGGAGGTTGTCACTTCCACGCTATCATACCACCTCTCTGGGCTATAATTGGGCTGGGGAAACAACCCACTGTCAGTCTCAGAGGCATGGCCTCATGTAGACATTCTTGTTTAATAAATACAGCAACATGTGTGTGAGAGGATTCTGCCCCTGTGCTATGGGCTGGAACTCTGCCTTACTCCAAGTGATCAGAGATGGTTTGAAGAATGACTTACAGTATGACTTACATTGAGGTCACGTGTTCTGCAGTTCAGACTGCCCCTGAATCTTGTCAGGAGAGCATGTGATAGCATTGAATACTAGGGATGTAAAATCCCACTTAATTGGTTAACTGGAGGCTCGGAGCAGCCCCTCTCTGCAGCTGGTAGGGAGCTGCTCCAGCTCCACTGGTTAAGGGTAACCTGTAAGCTTTGCTTGTTAAGGGTCATGCTAACTGGTTAACCTTCCACATCGCTAGTGCAGTGTTTCTCAACCTTTTTTATGAAGTACACCCCCTTAAAAAAAAAAAAGTACCCCCAGAGCCAGGCACCCCACCCCTCCTTTTCCCCCAGCCTGCCCCCTCCTCTCCCAGAGCCAGGCACCAGAGGTATGGTAACCCTACCTTTGAAGTGCCTACTTCCGCTGCCTGGCCCTGCCTTGGTGGCTTGTCTGCGGGAAGCAAGTGGCCCACCAGCTCTGGGCTTGCTGTGTGCTCCCAGCCCAGCCTGATGCCCCCATGTGTGGTGCCTGGGGGCAACTACACCACTGATGTGTGTGGGGGGGGGGCGGTCCTTTGGAGCAAAGCTTTTTGTGCTGCTTCACTGCCTTTTAGCTCCTCTCCGCAGCACCACAGAGGAAGGGGTGATGGGGATGTGTTGTACAGAGCTGCTGGCGGAGGTGGGGGTAATGTGCATCTCTGGGTTCAGCTGCTGCTGGAGCATCCCAGGGAGGCTGCCAGAGAGGAAATGAACTAGGAGAGGTGGCCGTGGAAGTGATTTATTTTCTCCTCACCCAGACCCACCCCCAACTTGGAATTGCCCTGGGTCTCACCGGAGATGCTTCTGCAGCCACGCACTTTTCCCTCCAGGCACTGGGGCGCATGCGCAGAGTAGCTGTTAGCCAGGCGTGCGGCTCTGAACATTCAATTTGACAGACACATGACACTGCTACCCCTCCCCCCCCATCTCCTTTGCAAGGCTAAATTCTGGACCTTTTTTGCCATATTTCACTTGTTGAGGTACCCCCCAGACTTCTTTCGCGGACCCCTAATGGAACGTGTACCACTGGTTGAGAAACACTGACCTAGTGTATGCAGAAGGGTAAGAGTTTTCTTTCCCAATGTGTGTCACTACAGTTATGCTCATCTAATCCACCTTGTCTGTAGCCTGTTCCAGTGTGGCAGTGAGACGACCAGCCATGGGATACTTTCCATCCCCTTTCAAGCTGGTTCAAATAGATGGGCCCATGTGAACTAGTATCTCTTTCCTTTCAAATTCCCATCCCCTCTGGCTAGAGGACTATGAGCCCCCACTTATCTTGGTGTCCAATCTCCAACTATAGCTAATGCTGGTCTCCTAAGAGAGAGAATGCACTCTCCTCTCCTTTTCCAGCAACAAGCCTCTCTGCAGTACCTGGCAGTGTGGGGGAGAGGATATTTTCTTCCAACCCCAGGAGACTCTGGTGCCCCAACTCCCCAGGTCTGAAGTTCAGGTTCCTCTCCCCATCCTCTGTTTGGATTGGCTCCAGCGTGTGGACTTCTCCTTCCCTTTGCCCTCACTGCCTCATGGTGTGTGTGAACATGATGCACCCCCACTTAAATCTGCCTCCCACCGCAAGCTCACAGGTGTCTGCTTACAAGTCATCTGCGCTGCTTCCTTGGCGACAAGAGAAGCAGAGGGATTAAGATGGAGATGTAGTGTCATGGCACTGAGGCAGGGCAGCTGTGAGCTTGGGGCCCCTGGGAGGGAGGCAGGCAGGCAGGTCTCTTGATGGGCGAGTGGGAGATGCTGTGGGCAGTGTTTCTGAGGAACCCTGACTCAATCTGTCCCTTCTCCTTTCACAGGGCAGCGAGGCGAATCCCCATCCCTTCTCACTGGAGCTCAGCTTCGTTGTAACTCCCCCACCCCCATACACGCACACCTCCCAATTTTATAAAACAACTTTCTCTCTGTCCCCCCATGGCCTAGCACTTCCTGTGCCAAACCGGAGCTGGATTTAAGGTGTAATTTTTAAAGTCTCTATCTCTATTTTTTCTGCAGCAGCTGGGGTAAATGAGGAGCCTTTTCGCCCCTCACAAGCTGACCTCTCGGGTATTTTTAGAGTGAAATGATGATGTGCAAAGGGCTGTGATTGTCTCCTACTGAGAGCTCTCCCCAGGCGGTTCTGTGGTAACTGTGCCTGGAACAGAGCAACAGGGAGAGAACAGAAATGATCATTGCTGACTTGACCTTTTGGCACCTCACGTTTTTCTAATCTGGGCTATTTTTATTTTTGTTTTTTTACAGTGAGATTTTTTTGATCTTCAGCTACAGTAAGTTATTCCAATTTTTTTTTCCATTTTTCCTGCCTTTCCACTGATTTCCTTTTTATTGTTGTTGCTAGTTACTATGACTATTATTACTACTATAATGCTGATGACTTGACTATGCTGATATGTTGCTCATAATAATGACACTGCTGATTTTTAACCGGATGAAATCGAGTTTTTCTGAGTGTTCCTGACTGTGGAAGGTTTTTAAATTTTTAAAGTGGATTGATCACGCTAACTCTTTTTTCCCCCCTTCCGACTGTCTGGCTGCTGAGAGCGGGACCTGGTTTCTCCTGAACTGTTTTAGAACGTCTCTGGAAGTCTGTATTTTTTTTATTTTTTTATTTTTTTTATTTTTTATTTTTAATCTTTCATTTGTACCATTTTTAACCTGTTGCTGCAATATGATGTTTGTGGTGCTGATCGCCCGTGATAGCGATGGCCGGCGCAGATACAAACCCATCCTGGGCTATGGTAAGAGGTGTGAGGGCCAGTAGGTTTTATTGTAGCCTTCAGCAGCCAGATCTAAAGGCCCTGGCATGGAGGAAGCACTGCTATGGCATCAGTGTTATCCCAAGCATGGTTCAAGGTTAGCTTTCTGTGGAGATGCTGGAATGTGCATTGGCAGAGCTTGGAAGGGGGCGGGCGCAGATACAAACCCATCCTGGGCTATGGTAAGAGGTGTGAGGGCCAGTAGGTTTTATTGTAGCCTTCAGCAGCCAGATCTAAAGGCCCTGGCATGGAGGAAGCACTGCTATGGCATCAGTGTTATCCCAAGCATGGTTCAAGGTTAGCTTTCTGTGGAGATGCTGGAATGTGCATTGGCAGAGCTTGGAAGGGGGCGGTGGGGTGTCAATGGCTGTGTGTAGGATTGCCAGATAGTTTCACAAAAAATACCGAACCAAAAGGGAAAAACATTTGTTGAGCAAAAAAAGTGGTCCAAAGTTGTTGAGCACAAAAAAGAAGGAAGTAACAAGGGCCAAAATGCAGGCACAGCTCCTTTAAATCCCCAGCCACTGGGGAGACAGCATGGACTACGCCACATGTCCTGAGCCGGGCCCCAAGAAAAAACAGAAAATACCAGACATTTTAGATGTCCAATATTTTCCGTTTTGTTTTTACCGGACCGAAGGAGCAAATAAGGGGCTCTCCGTTCCATACTGGACACCTGGCAGCCCTAGTTGTGTGGCTCTGGTGGTGGGAAGGGAACGACCAGCCGTGATAACCAAGTAGGCTGCGTAAATCTGGTCATGTTCCTCCCCCTCCATCAGTTGTCACAAGAAGACACAGAGAAAGGAAGGCTCTAGGAATCCTGTTCTTATGGCTTCCACTAGTGAGGCGTAGCTCCCGCAGATATGCAGCCTTCCAGCACCCATGAATCCTGCTGCTGCTGTCCTCAAGTCCCTCCCAATGAGGAGCCCACAGGATCCCAGGTGGGATCTTCTGGGCTTGTGTATAGAGGGTCTCTGCTCTGGGATGGGGAGGCTTTTTGTTTTGAGGGTCTTTGATCTGAGCACAGATCCCAGATGGGGTCTCCTTGTTCTTGTCTGGAGCTGTTGGTGTGCAGAAGGGGTTGAGCTGCTTGTGGGGAACGTACTGGTTTCACCACTCAGTGACATGCTCTCACTTTCCCAGTCCTTGAGGCCTTACCAAGCGCTGCTGAGCCCTCTCAGTCTTGACCTACAGCCTCCCTGCTGTTTTAGTCCAAGAGGTCCTGGCAGCGGTGATGGCCAGCAAGGCCACATTCATTAGATGGGGTCTGGCACCTCAAAATCTGTGAACCTCGCCATCCCCAGGTGCTTTGATCTTTTGGGAATTGTGGCTGTCTTCGGGAGGGGACAACAATATTCTCTGTAGCAGAGTTGAGTGTAAAGGGTGAATCATGTCCTGAGAGGAGGAAAAACAACCAGGAGTCCGGTGGCACTTAAGCAACTAACAGATTTATTAGGGCATAGTCTTCATAAGTAAAAGTCTCTACAGTGCCACAGGTCTTCTAGTTGTTTTTGAAGATACAGATTGACATGGCTGCCCCTCTGAGACTGAGAAACGAGAGAGAAGTCTCACAAATAGCTTGGTTCCCTTGCCCTCCATGCCCCTACATCTCCCTGAAAGACCACCGCCTTCATGAGAGGCAGGTGGACACAGTGCTCCATCTCCTTTCCTTGTACTGCTGAGACATGGTGCCTCCTTAGGCAGGTGGGAAGGCATGCACAGAATATTGTGGAGGGGGAGCATTTGGTGACATCCCTGGGCCTGAGGTGAGCCCGTATGTTGCCTCCTTGGTCTGAGTTGCATGGTGTGGGGAACATGGCAGGATCTGCATGGAGAACATCCACCTCCCATATGGAAATGGCCTTAAGTAAGACAGGGCGCAGAGGACAATGTGAAGCAAGGCAAGGCTAGGCTGTGCATTCACCTCCAGTCTGTCTGCTTAGCAAAGAGATTGGGACAGCACTTCGAGGATGGTGGGTTAAACCTAGCAATGGGTGGTAGATCCAGCCCTGCCCTCTGCAGTTGTGTTGCAGAAACTAGGGGAGGGTTAATGAAGTGAAAGGCAGCTAGTGGTGCTGCTAAACAATATACAGTTGCATTGCTTATGTGTCTATGGCGTGGAACTCCCCATCACATGGTGTCCTTGAGTCAGGGTTAAGGCTGGGCTAGCCAAGGCCTCTGAGCAAGGCTATTGCTCATGTCCCAGTTGATAGGCTCCTTTTGAAAATCAGGGGAGGGGAAATAATCTTAGCTTTCTTCCTTTGGATGCTGGGTTGAGCCCTAACTGAGGCAAGCTGCCTGCTGTAATTTCTTAACCCTTCCTCTGAGGTGGTAGATGTTGTTGGGGGAATTCTGGGCCAGGCGCATGTCTGGATGACTGAGTTTGATGCTGGTTGTATTCGGGGGTCAGGAAAACCAGCAGCACTAGGGCTGGGTATTGGGCCACTCCTCACTTTAGGGATTCTTGTCTCTTCTGCAGCCACAGCCTCCCTGGGGCTTGTATGCAAAATGTTCTTCACACCTGAAGAACATAAGGAACAGTCCTGATCATCTGGTTTGACCTCATGCCTTAAGCTACAGGACTTCAATATTGTGCTTTTGTAATAGGCAGAGCTCATGGGCCTGCATCCTGGAATCACAATGTGTAAAGCCTTCAAGTTATGGACAATCCCCCTATTGACTTGAGTTCAGACTATCACATAATCCAGGACTTGCTTTGCAGAGGAAGGTGCAGAAAACCTCCTGTTCTGTGGGGAAGTTACTTCCTGGCCCCAAATCTGGTTGGGTAGACAAGATCCACCAGCCAGATGCTTGGGAAAGAATTCTTTGTGGTAACTTAGCGCTCCCCATCTCGTGTTTTGTTTCTGGCCACTGGGGATATTGGCTAATAGATGTCATAGGTGGGCCTTCTGTCATTTAGGCCATCTCATGTCATCCCTCCATAAACTGGTAGCACTTGGCCTCAAAGCCAGTTAGGGTTTTTTGTGTTCGCTGCTCCCCTGGGTGGGCTCAACTTCAGTCTTGTGACAGCTAGAAACTTTTCTTTGATTTCATACTGAAACTTGCTGGTGGCCAGTTTATTACCCATTTGTTCTTGTGCTAGCATTGGCCCTTAATGAGAATAACTCCTTTCTTCCTGGCATGTATGCCTCAGATGTGCTGAAAACCATCTGCTCTCCCTTCATGCCTCTCAGCACCCTAGCAGGCCCCCTCTGCTCCCGTTCCAGTGTGAGTTCAGCATTCGTAACCGTGGGAGACTGGCATAACAGATGAGCTCTCACCAGGTGGTTTTTTTCTTAGTCATTCTTAGAGAGGGTGGGCCAGCCTGGCTGTGGCCTGTATCACTATGTAGCCATGGCCAGCTGTCCCAAGTGGAGTCCTGCTCACACTGACTGGAGTTCTGAGATGGCTCCTTGTCATAGAGCACTTGCCTCTCCATATGGAAGGTGGTGGAGATGGGGCCTGGCTCTGAGATGCAAGCGTGTATGTTTGTTCCCATGGCTGTCCTCTGAGCAGCTCTCTGCCCCAGCAGGTCCGGGCTGCGCGTGAGCCATGGCCAGCAACGTCACCAACAAGACAGACCCACGGTCCATGAACTCGCGTGTCTTCATTGGGAATCTGAACACACTGGTGGTGAAGAAGTCTGACGTGGAGGCAATCTTCTCCAAATATGGCAAAATCGTGGGCTGCTCAGTGCACAAGGGCTTTGCCTTCGTGCAGTATGTCAACGAGCGGAATGCTCGTGCCGCCGTGGCCGGGGAGGATGGCCGGATGATCGCAGGCCAGGTGCTAGGTGAGCACCTCCCAGAGCACACCCCTTCCTGCACACTGAGGCGTATTGTGGGGCTAGCATGGCTGGGTTCTAGGTTAGAGCTTCCCTCCTGCATCCCTAACCGCAACCAGTCGGTCCCCAAGTAATAGCATTGGCCTGGTCCCAGTGAACACCTCCTGTCTGTGCCCTCCCCCACCTCCCGGGGGGGGGGATTGCTGGCCACGCCCTTGGTGAGTATCTCTTATCTGTGCCTCCTAGCCCCTCTGCCCCTACTACAGAAGTGAGCTGATCACCAGCCGGGTTCTGAGTGAGCTTCATCCCACACCACCATCCTGACCAGTCATTGGGCTCCTGAGGTGCCCTCCTGGGCACAGGAGCTAGGAGGCAGCAAGAAAAACAAGGACAAGGAATAGATAGGGGTGGATGGGAGCTGGCCCTCGGTAGATCTGATACGAGGTGTCACTGCCCCTCCAGCCTCTCCCCCAAGGCTCAGGTGTATCTTAGAAGCCCATGGGCACAGGCCAGCAGCCAACCAGGGCCTAGTGCTGGCTTGTCCTAGGAACTGGGCATGGGGCTCAAGAAGTCTTGGGCCCAGGAGGCATGAATCAGCAGGTGTCTGCAGTAGGGATGTGAATGTGTAGCCATTTATGTGATTAACCAATGAGCCTGGTCTGGTCAGTTAATCCTAATGGGACCCGCATTGCTTCCCCTGTCTCTGTATGGAGGGGTACAAATGAGAGCTGGTATATGTGTGTGGTACAGCAGTTACACACTGACAAAATTAAACACTTTCAACATCCCTAGTCTGCAGGGCTCTGGAAACTGAGGCAGCTATTCTGCCATCTCCCCCTTTCCCTGCTGCCAGTGGCTGGCTGGGTCACTGACATACACAAGTGCTTTTGGAAGCTGGATATGCAATGGTCATGGTCTGCAGTTGGGAGCTCTCTAGGCCCCAGACCCTGTGCTTTGGGAATCCCATGGCAGCTGCCTCAGTAATCCTATGGCTGGGACCTGGGTGGGCCTGGCACAGGGCGGCAGCTGCCCATCTTCCAGCATGCTGTGCTCTGCTTTATTGTGGGGGTGGCACTGAAGAGGTGCTGCTGTGAAGCAGACTGCTGCATCACTCTGCTGCAGTGATTGAAGGTGATAGGCACCCCAGCTGTGATCCTGAGCCGCACCCCAAGTAATCCCCCAGGTTGCATAGCTGACCAAGGTTTGAGGAGGGGATTTCAGGGAAGGGTGCATTGGGGTGGAGCAGGGCTTGGAGGGAAGGAGTCAGAGCCTCAGACTAGCCCTGTCAGGACAAACATGAGGTACTTTCCTATTGCCTGGTCCCGGTAGTATCGGTGCACCTGTGGGCCTGCTTTGCCATGGCCTGTGTGGCAGGGCTGGGTGCTGAATCATGTTGGAGAAGCAGCACTGCTCAGAGTTAAATCTTGGTTCTGATGCAGGGGCCTGGCCCCAGTCAGCGTTCGCTCACGATGCCAATGAGAAGTAGCAGGGCTGTCCACTCAACACGTGTCTGCCTCTTTCCCAGATATCAACCTGGCGGCCGAGCCAAAAGTGAACAGGGGCAAGGCAGGCGTCAAGCGGTCGGCAGCCGAGATGTACGGGTCAGTAGCCGCACCACCTTCTCCGTCCCCTCTAGTCAGGTCGGGACCCTTATGGTTTTTATATCGCGTTCATGCCCAGCGTGGGCACCTCCTCTCTCTGTCTCTTTCTGTCTCCCAAGGTGGGGAGGGATGTCAGGAGGTGGCTGCACCTCCCTTGGGTGTCTTGGGCTGTTGAGGCCCCTGCCTGAGCTGTGGTTCCAGGGTGTGGGCAGTTCTGCCCAGGCCTGTCTCAGCTTGTCTCGCTTGGGTCTGGGAAGCAGGCAAGCTGGAGAGAGGTGCTAACCCTCCTTCAGCATGGCTCCCTGCATGTGTATATCCCACCCGAGAGGCTGGCAAAGCCCACAGGCTGGGCTCTTGGGTCCTGTCTCCTGCATGGAGAGCAGGTTCGCTGCAGCAGCACCCTTGCCCCCACTTCATCAGTAGGGGCCCTTTCCTCCTCCATCTCCTTCTCCTCCACCCCATGGTGCCTGCCTATCCTGACCCTGTCTTGTGGGCGCTCTTTCAGGTCCTCCTTTGACCTGGACTATGACTTCCAGCGGGATTACTATGACAGGTATGTTGAGCCTCCTTGAGGAGGGCAATAAGTTGCAGCACCGTGCGCAGTCTCTGGGCAGTATTGATGCTACTGTTAATGCCTTGCGGGGCACGGCATGGTGTGTGTGGGGGAACGTGGCACTCCTGTTGCTGTGGGCTCACCTTGTTTTCCTCCTGTCCCTAGGATGTATAGCTACCCGGCACGTGTGCCCCCACCTCCCCCCATTGCTCGGGCCGTGGTGCCCTCGAAACGCCAGCGTGTGTCTGGCAATACCTCCCGCCGAGGCAAGAGTGGCTTTAACTCCAAGAGTGGGCAGCGGGGGTCGTCCTCCAAGTCTGGTAAATGTACGTGTCGGGGCCTGCAGCAGTGGGTTTGGGCCAGGCCCTCTTGCCTGCACTGGGTCTTGGGAGGAGGGGCTGTGGCCTGTTGGAATGGATCCTTGTGGCAATTCATTTCTTGCGTCTCTTGCTTTCAGTGAAAGGTGACGATATCCAGACCATTAAGAAGGAGCTGACCCAGATCAAACAGAAAGTGGATTCGCTGCTGGAGAGCCTGGAGAAGATCGAGAAGGATCAAAGTAAACAGACGGGTGAGAGGGGGGGTGGGGATGGGTGTGAGGCTCCCTTCAGGGATCCTCAGTGGCTTGTGCACAGTGTGGATCGGAGAATCCGCCCCCTCCATACAGCGTGGTGTGTTGGGCAGGGGTGGGCCTGACGCATCCCCGCCTTGCCCTCTGCAGAGCTGAAGAATGAGAAGTCGGAGGAGGAGCAGAGCAGCAGCTCCATGAAGAAGGAGGAGAGTAATGTGAAGATGGAGTCAGAGGCTGGGGCAGATGACTCTGCTGAGGAGGGGGACCTGCTGGATGATGATGATAACGAGGATCGAGCGGATGACCAGGTATGAAGGCTGAAGCCAGAGAGAGCCAGGGCAGAGCGGGTGTCACAGTGGCTAACCCCTTCCTGTCCCCTCTCTCCCAGCTGGAATCCATCAAGGGGGACGAGAAGGAGGCGGAGGAAGGCGAAGACGACAGAGACAGTGCCAATGGTGAAGATGATTCCTAAACAGCTGGTGCAGCCCCTCCCAGCAAGGCGCCCACCTGACATTGAGCCTGTCACCGGCCCCTCCCCAGCCTCCTTCTCACTGCCCGCCCACGTGTTCATGGTGTCGTGTCCCCTGCCACGCTCCTGGCTCACCCCATAGTTCTGTTAAATCCCCTGTAATTTTCCTCTTTTAATTTTGATACCTCTTTATGATTTAACAATAAAAAAAAGTATGGTTTTTACCTGGTGCTTTTGCCTGCATCTGCCATGCTGGAGGAGGGCTGAATGGGAGGTTGAGGACCTGGTGAATGGGCAGTAATGCTGGAGCCCCTTGTAGTTCATGGAAGTGCACCAAAAAACTAGCAGGAAAAATGCTGCTCCCCATTCACATTTGAGACCTGCACCATGACTCTCCCAAGCAAGTTCACCCTTGGAGGTGGGAGGGAAGAGCCTAAATTGGAGACCCTGTGTGTGGATGAGCACTGAGACTTGGCAGGTTCAAAAGCTTCCCTCCAGTGTAGGGCTGGTCCTGTTCTGGAACAGACTCTATACTCTGGGATGCCTCCCTCAATTAGCATGTCCCTCTTGAGCAGGGTGGGAGCCATTTTTGGGTCAGGGGCCACTGACCTAGAGAAAAATCAGTGGGTGGGCCACACACGAAAAGGGGAGAAAAAACCCTCAGGTTATGTTTACACTAGCGGCTTCTTGCGTAAGTATGGCCGTTCTTGCGCAAGAATCCACAGAGTGTCCAGACTGCCCACCCGCTCTTGCGTAAGGCAATTTACAGTACGGCGTGGCAAAAGAGGACTTCTTGTGCAAGGGCTACGCTCTTTTTTAACAGGTGTAAGCCCTCTTGTGTGGGAGCTCTTGCGCAAGAGGGCAGTGTGGACGCTGGGCAGGGATTTCTTGCGCAAGAGAGCATCCACACTGCCATGGGTGTTCTTGCACAAGAAGCCGCCAGTGTAGACACAGCCTCACTGAGCAGAAAGACATGCCCCTCTACAGTGTGTGTGTGGGGGGTGGGGAAGGGGGCAGCCTAGTTGATTTTGTGTGCTCCAGCCTCTCAGTGCTCCAGCATCCCTGCTGTCCCACCATCTGAGGTTCTCCAAAGCCAGATCCAGGCAAGCCAAGGACCACATCTGGGCCTGAAGTTGCCCATCTCTGCTCTTGAGTGAAGCTCTGATGTATCGGAGGACAAAGCAGGCTCTGCATAATCACTAACTGCAATGTTTGTGTCCTCACACTTGGGCCTTGGATGTAGCTGAGGCAATGACTTGCTACTGGACCAAGTTTAGCTGTATCAAGTCTTGTGTGTTCTGTAGCCATTACTGGCCAGACTTGGGCACGTGGATTTGGACATCTGTACCTTAGGCAAACCTTTGATTTGCACTGGAGTGTGGATAAGGGATTGGTTACTGCACCAGCCATGTTCCTGCAGGTGTTGAATCTTGAGCTGCTGTTGTGGTGTAATCAGGCACACTCCATCCCAAGGACTCCAGTATAGACAATGGGAATACCTGCTTACAGCATAGCATTTCACCGGAGAACTAAGGGAGTCCAGAGAGCAGTTCTGGGGCACCTCTCAGAAGATTAGCTTAGTTTACATTCTTGACCCTTTGGTACAGCATGTAGCCTACTTGAGAACAGATCGTAGAATCATAGGCTACGTCTAGATTGCATCCCTTTTTCGTAAGAGGGATGCAAATTAGACTTACCGCAATTGCTAATGAAGCGGGGATTTAAATCTCCCCCGCTTCATTAGCATAAAAATGGCTGCCGCTTTTTTTCGGCTCAGAGCGTTGCCGGAAAAAAGCGCCAGTCTAGATGCGGATCTTTCGGAAAATAAAGCCTTTTCCGAAAGATCCCTTAAGGGGAAGGCTTTATTTTCCGAAAGATCCGCGTCTAGACTGGCGCTTTTTTCCGGCAAAGCTCCGAGCCGAAAAAAAGCGGCAGCCATTTTTATGCTAATGAAGTGGGGGAGATTTAAATCCCCGCTTCATTAGCAATTGCGATACATCTAATTTGCATCCCTCTGCATCCCTTTTTCGTAAATCTAGACATAGCCATAGATCTGGAAGAGAGCTCAGGAGGTCAAGTCCAGCCCCTGCCCAAGGCAGGACCAGGACCAACCCCAACCTCCTGCGTAGTCCTGATGTTTTTTTTTTTTTTTAGGGACACAAGTTGGGTATGCTAATAGCTTTTATGGGACCAACATCTGGTTAGAGAAGCTTCACCTGAAGAAAAGCTCTGCGTAGCTTGCAAGCTTATCTTTCACTGAGAGCTGTTGATCCAATAAAAATAAACCTTACCCACCTTGTGTCTCTGCCTGGGACCAAGACAGCTACAACTCCAATGCCACCAGTTCTGTGAGAAATTCTCATCCATTCTTCTCACTTCAGGTTTCTCTGGCAAGGCAAATACTTTCTTCCCAGCCACCAGAGAGTTGATGTTCATTTGTTCTCTCAGCTGGTTTTGATCCATACAAAGCAAAAGACTTGTGAATTGTCCTTAAGGAGACCTGGATGATCTAGGTCTAAGCCCTGTACTTAACTTCTGTGACATGGGGCCTCTTGCAGAATCTCTGCCTCATTGGTCTGGTCAGGATAATACCGCTCTGTCCCATGGGGCCATGAGGAGCACTAAAAGGGCTGGGGGGAGGACATGTAAGAAAATCTGCACCCAGTTCTGTGGATAAGGTAAACAAATGCTGCTTCCTTTTGTGAGCAGGTGGAGCAGACTTCCTAGGTCTGGTCTCCCCCTGCAGCCATAATGTGGTTGTTCTGATCATGCCACGGTAGGATACCACACATGGGCTCCTGCGGTGGGTATAATTATCAGGAGGAATATTGAGGTGGTGACCCAGGACCCAGCTGTGGAATTGTTTATCGCATCAGCCTTTCATTGACAACAGTGGCAGGATGTGGTAGGGCCCTACACGTATATGGGGTAAACTACAGCAGCAACTGGAACTTCCCATATTGGGATGAGAGAGGCTGATGCTGACCTGTCTCAGGCAACTTCCTGTTTTAAGGGGGAAGAGGGCAGTTTGTCCTGACATGGTTTCCTGGTGGGGCTGCTGCTGAAGGAGAGGAAGAGACCCTGGGGAGCAACAGCAATTCTGGTTTCTAGAGGGTTGTGTCCACAACTGGGTTTTGTTTCTACTAGTGGTGCACATCCACACATGCTTCAGTGCACCTTACAAAATTAGTTCTGGACATGGATGGAAAACCACATATGAATGGAAAAGATTGGTAGGATGTGACTGCCAGTTGGAGCTATGTGGCTAGGAACCACCCTTTGTAGCCACCAGCCTCAGAAATGCCTGAGGGGTGCGGGCAGAAAAGACCAACACCCCATAAGGTGCTGCCAACAGGTGTAACCATAAGGGGTAGTACTCGGAGGAGCTTAAGCACTGTGACATGGCAGCCCCTCCCCAGATGCCAGTAGGAGGTCATACCCGTCTCTCCCCTGTTAGCAGATAGCATGCTTTACTGCTCCTCCTCGAGCCTTATTCTGATTCTGGGGGTGTGGAGAGGGTGAATAAAGAAAAGTTATTTATTAGTTCCCATACTAGAACTAGAGGACAGAAATGGTGTCCCTGGCCTCTGTTTGTCAGAGGCTGGAGATGGATGGCACGAGACAAATCCCTTGATCATTATCTTTGGTCCACCCCTTCTGGGGCACCTGGTGCTGCTACTGTCAGCAGACAGGCTACTGGGCTAGATGGACGTTTGGTCGGACCCCGTATGTCCGCTCTTATGGTCTGGCCACAGTCAACAGCTTGGAAAGAACCAATTCCATCCCCTGGGAGCAGATGCTCCAGTAACAGTTTGACCTACTGCTTCTTTGTCTGGGGGAGCCCAGCTTGTACCCGTAGGATTTGGCTGAATAGGTCCCAAAACGGTGGGTTTACGGCTCAGGGTCCACAAGGGGGGAAGGGACAAAGCAGCTGGAAAATCATATCCCTAGAGCTCTGCAAATTCTCAGCTGTGGGTGTGGATTTGCATGGCTTGTTTTTCTTGCTATGGAGGCAGACCTAGAATCCTGCAAATGTGTAGATACCCGCTTTATATCTGGGGGGCATCTGCAGATCGCTTGCGGATGTGGATAACAATTTTATATCCACACAGGGCTCTACATATTGCTCCCCCGGATCCCCTAACCTCTCATCTCACAGTCCTCCACTGTCTTGGGCCCCCAGCTGCATACCCTGAGAAGGGGAAAAGGGAGGACCTGTTTGGCCTTTGTTGCACAGAGGTGATGTCACAGCAGTGCCTTATGGGAAATGTTTCCCTGGCCTCCCATCTAGGCTGTCTCTACACTGGCGTGATCTTGTGCCAAAGTGGCTGGCCTTGCTGCCTGTCTACACTAGCCGTGTGTTCTTGTGCAAATAAACTGATGTTCTACTGTATGAAATCAGGGCTTGGCGCAAGAGCTATGATGCTCCTGGTCAGGAATAAGCCCTTTTGCGCAATTGTTCTTGCGCAAGAGGCCAGTGTAGACAGGCAACATGAATTTCTTGCGCTAGAAAGCCCTATGGTTAAAATGGCCATCAGAGCTTTCTTGCGCAAGAGCGTGTCTACACTGGCATGAATGCTCTTGTGCAAAAGCACATGCCAGTGTAGATGCTCTCTTGCACAACTACTTTAACACAAGAAGTCTTGCGCTAAAGAGTTTTTGCACAAGATCATGCCAGTGTAGAGGTCCTACAGTATAGTTATTGAGGCCCCATGGCACTATGGGAAATGTATTTCCTCCTGCCTCAATCTCCCATAAGCTATTGCAGGCCCCAGCGTCCTGTGGGAAATGTATTTTCCCAGGCCTCCATCTCCCATCAGCCAGTACAGGCAATGTACGGTTAGTGTGGGGCCAAGAGGGATGCGCAGGACAACTGAGGAATACTGTCAGGGAAGAAGGCCAAATTCTTCCTTGACAGTCTGCATTTTTCTGCCTACTCCAAATACCAATGGGCTGAGAAACAATCTCCACTCATTGACATATCTGCTTTCCATGACTAACTTTGCATATGTTCCCCTGGGTGTGCATAAAACGCACTGGCTATGTCTACACTGGCGGGTTCTTGTGCAAGTACAGCCATTCTTGCGCAAGAACCCGCAGAGCGTCCACACTGCCCACCCTCTCTTGCACAAGAAGATTTACAGTACGGCGTGATAAGAGGGCTTCTTGCATAAGAGCTATGCTTTTTTAACAGGTGTAAGCCCTCTTGCGCAGGAGCTCCTGC